TTTATTTTATAGGAGCAACTTGTTTTTTACAGATATCTTAATAATTTTTCGATTTATATATCTTACTTATATTTATTTTGTTTTTAAATTAAAACAAATATTAAAGCTTTACTTACCAATCTTATGATTTTCTTACAAGTATTTTACATTATATAGAACATTATATAAACGGTCTCTCGTTTTTGTGCAAGAGAGCGCAGTATTATATATTCTAAATCTTACATTAAACAATCAAAACTATTTTCTAACTTCTCTGGTCATTTTTATGCTATGAATTTTTTTGTTTTTCCGTCGAAAAAAAGTAATTACAAGCAATTGCTTTCATTTAATTAGAGATATTTGATGAACTGTTAAATAAGTAAATATAGTTAAAGTTAATATTTTAATAATTACAGTTGCAATATAACAAAAAAAAGATGTTTAATGTTGAACTTTTTATTTAGTTATTTATTTTTTACCTACTTTTGTTATAAAAAGACTTTAGTACCCCCGTCATTTAAATAATTTGTTTTAAATATATTTCGACGTGATTATTCAAATAAATTTTTTTCGTTTGACTTCCCCAAGCAAATTGAGACAAAATATTGCCTAACCAAATAAAAATGTTGTTACTAATTTTATATGGGTAATTAATATAAAACATTTATTTATCAGAGTCTTATAATTGAGATAATAATTTTATATGGGTAATTAATGTAAAACATTTTTTTATCAGAGTCTTGATTGAGATAATAAATATTCATAATTTATAAACATTAAATATACAACGCAATAACAATTTATAGCAACGAACCAGCATAAAAGATTTAAGGTTTTTAATATCTTTTTAAATATTAAAAGTAGAAAAAAAAAAAAAAACTAAACAAATAACCAAAAAAACTTCGACTAAAAATAAATAAAAATATTTCCAGAGTTTCTTTTGTTAAAAGTCTACCGTGACGTCAAATACTAAAACTTTTATGAATTAAACGCGCTTCAAAGGAATTGCCAAAGTCTGTGGATTGTGACGCATAATTTGAAGACTCCGATTAGTTGAAAAAAATGGAGAAGACGAGCTTCGGCAAAAACAACAACATTTGTTTTTCTCGGTATGCATTCATTATTTATTTTTATCAAAAATAATTGGTTCAAACCTTTTTTTTTAACATTATCTTTAATATGAACACAACATGTGTTGGGAGTTTGGGATCCCTTTAAAGAAATTTACTATTCGAATTTTAATTAATTGACAATGTTTTAGCATTTAAATTTCATTCAAAAAAATCTGCGGTTGCTCAAAAAAAATTGTGTTTGGCTGGTAGCGAATGAGTTAATGCAATTTTCCGTATTTATATTTATACTATAACTATTTTTTTGTATATTTTAGTACAAATAATTGTATTAACTTTAATTTAGTTTGATTTGTATGGATATTAGTAAAATAATTTGTTTAATATTTATTTTCTATTTAGTTCAATTTATGTTTTATTCAACTCACTTGTTTTTTATTCAGTTTATACTTTAAATTAATTTATACGCTTTAGTAAAATTATTCTTTTAATATCTAGTTTATATTTAGTTTAAACCAGTACGTTTTTTTTTTAGTTTAAACCAGTACTGCAAGTATTTGTTATATATAAAATTTTTATTTTTATAAATTTCATAAATTTAATTTTTAATTGTATCAAACTTTTGTTTTAGGATTTAGTAAAAAACTTATACAATTAACATGATTTGGTGATAATAATAACAGGAAATAAATTAATAACTTATAAACAAAACAAACTTAAAACAAACAAATAACAAAAAAGTAAATCTTTATTTTATATTATTGCTGTTGATGATATTTTAATTTTTTTGGATTTTGTTGTAATGATTGATTTTTATTCTTGAAAAATACAAATATTACAAGCTTGAAAAAACCAATTTAAAATATATAAGTAAAAAAAAGTCATGCAAATTAAAAAATTTCTTAATTTATATTCAAGACTTTTTTATTTTTAATAGCAGCTTTATATAATTAACGGATTGAGTGCTATCCAGGAATTAAACAAAAAAATTAAAAATTTAAGAAATAATAATAACTTTTTTTTTTTTTTTTTTTTTTAACATCTTTACTTTTAACAAGGCTGCAAGTTGGAAGTTACTGGAAAAGAAAAGACTAAATCTGAAGAGCAAGATAACAATTGACTGATGACTTAAAAGATTGCAAATTATATGAATAAGGGAAGCAAGATGAAGGAAGCGAATTCCAAAGAACTGATGTTCGAGGAAAAAAACTAGAAAAATAAGAGTTTTTGAAGCACTTAGGAACAGTCACAGAAAAAGGATGAGACTTGAGACTTGAGACTGAATGGCGAGTAGTTATTTCGAAGACCACGAATATTAGTAAATGATAGGTTTAGAGAACTTAGTGATGACGATGGTTTTTTGTGTTTTTTAGTTTTAGGTACTTTAGTCATTTTAAATTTATAAAGAACTTGACTCAAGTATAGATAGTACTCAGTACACTATTTAACAACTAAGCAATAGCCTCATTACTATTAATAAACCCTAAACCGTAACAAAGGGCTCCAAATGTGGCCTCTACAATGCACACCAAAAGTACGAACAGGGACACCATCCATGCGCAACATGGCACTGTTAGTACTCTGATATTTTTCGGCTGTTGATGGAATCAGCCTCTCTGAGAGCTACCACAGAGTTCGGGAAACCTGACTACCAGCCGGCCTCAGAACCATAAAACTGAGTTTTAGAGCTGTACCCTCATTAGGAGATAATAGAATGAGTTGCCTAGTCATAAAAATAGAGACACAAGCAATACCCACGCATTGAGTCAAGAAGATCCAGCGTTCAACATTCTAAACTGGAAACAATGTATTAAAAATACATCTGCGCTAGCCTAATAGATGAAAAAGGGGTGCGAGACTGGTCAACAGTTTAAATCTGTTTACCCCTTAATTCTTTGCCTAGGAGGCCTTCTACAAGACAGTAGCTGGATGCATTTAACATCTGCCCAAGATGAGTATTTTTATTGAGACACCATCTCTAGCCTTTACTCAACCAAGAGCCCCAAGGCAGGGGGTGTTTTAATTCGGAGTTAACTTCTCCCTGCCTAAAAAAGCGTATCCTACAAGGCAGCAGGACATGAAGCAGGTTGTACTGGGTTGATCTCTTAGAACTTTAATTCAAACTAAAAATACTTTAATTCATTTATACAAATGTTGAAAAAAGAAAAATACTACAGTATATTAAACATTTAAAAAAGTGTAATATTAAATTTAATTATTTAATATTAAAAAAAAATTGAAAGAAAATAAATATTCCATAATAACATTTCTACATTCTTTTTGTTAATTGAGTTTTTAATTAAACTCGTTTTGCATTAATTTATTTTACTGTGATCGATAGAAAAAAGTTATTGTCCTTAAAAAATTTAAAAAGGGAATTCTATTATGCCAAACTCTTAAGCTAATATTTTAGGCATTTTTTATTTAAAACAATGCCTGATTTTTTATTTAAAACAATCATTACATGATTGATACCAAGATGATATGCATTTGTGATTAAGTTAAATTCTTCAACAAATTAACTTCTTATATTCTTATATCTTCTAATAATCTTCCTGTATCTCATCTTCTTATATCAACTAATAAACAAAAAAAATAATTTTGAAATTTTTTTTTACTTGTCTGCGAAAGTTAAAATTATAAAACAAAATTTAACTTTTTGATCACTCGAAACTTTGAATTAAAAATCTTTTATTAATATACATTAATATACAGTATTATTATCAGAATCCAATAGTGGTTGCAGGCTTGGACAGAAACGGCGTGCGATGATTTAAACATTTCAGAAACATGCTGTAAAAATAAATGCTAACCGAAACTTAAACTAGGAAAAAAAATTAAAAAAAACAAAAAAAAATTAAAGAAAAAACAAAACATTACAAAATTATTACAAAAAAGAAAATATATGAGCTTTAAAATAAAACTCAAAGCATAAACTAATTCTTATTACATATTTAATTGCCTATGAAATTAATTATTTTAAAACTTATCTTTTGAAAGATTTTATTAAAATGATGCAAAATACAAATTACTTCTAATGATTGTTTAATAAATGAACAAATTTTATTTAAATTATTGAAAATAAAAAGATATAATATTTTCAAACTCTATAAACATTTTTTTCAAATGTTGCAAAAAAAATTCTACATTAATAAAAACTTAGTCTAAAGTTGCAATTTTTAATCATTTCATTAGTAAGTCAAGTTTAAAAAAAAAAACTCAAACAATTTTTTGTAAAAATAGAAACAAATAAATAAAGCAATTTAATTTCACTATATAAAGTAACATAATCTTTTAAAAGATTTTTTGAAAGACATGAAAAATAGTTTTAAATATTTAATATTATCATATAATATATACTATATATTATCATATAATATCTTACTAAAAATATTTAAATATAACATTGAATTTACATTAAAAAAATTAGTTTATTTTAAACGATCATAATAATTAATGTTTTTATTTTATTCGCCTTTACATAAAATTAAATTTTTTAGAAAAGATCAACAACTAAAAGTTATTCATAACGTAAAATTTTTTTTATTGCATTTAAATTGTTAAAATATTAAAACAGCTGAGGTCAAATTGTAAAAAAAAAAAAAATAATAAACAGGGTCAGTTACAATGTGGGATCGCAAGATATTTTTGTCCAAGCCTGTGTGTTTGCTTTGTGTTCAAGAACAATTAGTTATTTATTGGTAAACCAGTTTTACAACCTTCTAAAAACGCACTAAAAAAATTTGTTTGTAATTTATTTTATTGATAATTTAGCTGACTTTATAAAACTATGTTTTATAACTTTAAATAAGTTTCCATTATTACTAATTTTTTTATTAATACTCCAAATTAAAAATTAAAATAAAAATGATGCTATCATGTAAAAATATGCATTAACTCATGTTAAATAAATTTAAAAAAAAAAATTAAAAATCTTTAGATTTTATATACCTATTGCATTGCACTTCTTTTACATTATTTACATCGTGGTTGTCAATTTCATCATCACTTTTTGAAACTTTCTCATTGTCGAAGGTTGCTTCACTTTTTACATCTTGTGTAACCATTTCCATTATGTTTTGCAAATATTTTTATACTTAAATTATTTAACAGACACATTTGATGTTGAACTTGCAAAATCTATAAAAAATATTCTATTTTGTCTGTTTCTACCAAATATAGGCTTAGTTTTTATCTTTGATGAAGAACATAGCGCTTTTCTTTAATAGTATAATATACATAAACAACATCACAACTTAAATATTGATTTATAAAAACAATTGAATTATAAAAACTTTCAACTTTGGGTTACAAAATATTTAAAATTTTTTGTGAAATGACTCAACTAACCAATTTAAGTTTGCTTACAAACAACTTACATATTTTTTCAATTAAAAGTATTTTTCAAAACAATATAGCCTAGGGGAAAGCAGGTAGGATTCATACACTTTTTATATTAAGTGGTATAAAAGCAAAAATAACTGCTATTTTAAAACAATTTTTATATTAGTTCTCCTACTTTTTATATGGTTCAGAATATAAAAACTTAGACACTTAAATTGTTCAAATATCAAGTTTTGAAGTAACAAAAAAATACTAAGTGAAATTATTTAAAAATATTATCCAAATATATGTGAAACTTAAATCTTAAGAAAAATTTAGAAATAGGGTAAAACTTAAGATATATTTTGTTTTTACAAACAAATTAAAAGTATTTTTTAGCATAAATTTTCAACATTATAATTTTAGAGTAATTTGAAAATAACAACTTAAGCATCAGAGTAATTTATTTTGAATAATTGATGGCATATTATTATTACTTCTTATATATCTCATCCATCATAAAAATTGCAAGACGAGTTCAACAAAAAAAGAAAAAAACTTAATATACATCATAACTCATTAAGCTCTTTCCACGTTTGCATACTAAAATTTAAAATCCATGAATAAAATAAACTCCAAAACTGTAAAACAAACTTCGTCACAAATAAAACTATCATTTTATTTATTGTAAAGCAGGGAAATTTCTAAAATGTTTACAACACATTTTTATATTTTCACCATTTACAAATCCAAAACTTGACATTGTTTACTTTGCGATATGCTATAACGGAGCTAATAGTTATTTTTATCTACTAGATCTAAGTATTATCTAAGATAATTCTGCTGCCAAGTGATGCAATGGAATACATACGGTATGTAATTATTGCAGCCGTTATGTTTATTTCGTCATTTTCAACGCGACTATATAAGCTTTTTCAGTAGCGACTAAAGTTAAAATAACACCATACAGGTATACGTACCGCAAAAACAACCATACCTCAAAAACCACAATGTTGGTTTAAGTAATCTCGGAGTTGTTAAAAAATTCAAGATGTTAAAACTTTGATATATTATGATAGCTAATATGTCTATTTGTGAACTAAAATGGTTTCAGTAGTTTTTTCCTTGAAAAAGCTCAGTTATTAGCAATAAACCGCAAAGTTTAACAAAAAAACTGATAGGTTTTTTTTGTTTTGTAGAAATCTCGAGGACATATCTTATATGAAGTTAGCGAAATATTATTTTTCTATCAATATCCATTGGAGCCAGGTTTAAGACATGCATAGCACCAGATAAACACTGAATTTGTAGCATCTTTTATAAACTTTTAGCGCCGTTATTAAACCATTGCTTTCAAGAACGGATTTCAATTGCTGATCTTGTCTCTTGCGTGTTATCTATTTGAGCAAAAAACTTCTTGCCTGCAATCTCACTAACAAATTTTTCTTTTATAATAAATTCAATTGCTGAAAGAATAAAGTTTGATGCACAGCTAAAGGTGCATAAAACTGAGACAGTGATAAAATACTTTCAAAAAAGTGTCCATGGTCTGGGGTCCTATTTTCTAAACTTATACATGATTTATTCAAATGAATGGAAAAGATTGATTTCTTAAAAATTTTATAACAGACAAAATTCTTTTCATAGTTTCAACATTGTTCAGTATCTGCTGCAAAATAGATACTGAACAATGTTGTTTCAACATTTTTCAGTATCTGCTGCTGTAGAAATATATATTCACTTTCATTAACGATCCAATATCATTTAAACCTCTTGCATTAAAAATGCTAATACTGCCACACTATGAATATTTGATGCCTCAAATTCATCAATTCTTTGATGCACATGTTAAAAGTTTACAAAGTCAGTTGTAAAGATTTTGCCATTCATTGTAAATTGCCAAACAAACATTGTATTTAAAGACCATTTAACTCACAAGTTGCAATTCTTCGAGTTACTTATTGAAGTTTAACATTGCTATTTTCAGAAAGACATTGTTGAAAAATGATTTAAATCAAAAGATAAATTCTTTATATGTTTAAAGTTGGGCTGCATTGCATTACTTCTTACTAACTCGAGTTTTTTCTTAAGTGGATCAGTGGCGGATACAAAGAAGGAGGGGGTGGGGTAAGTCAAACTTAAAAATATTATTGAAAAATTTGTAAAAGAAATAACAAAATACAAAAAATTGTTTTGCACTTAACTATTTACTTTTTTTAAACTAAAACAAAAAGTAAAACTAAAGCAAAACTAAAACTTTTTCATAACATTACAAAAAAAATCTATTGTTGCATTTTTAGCATTTTTCCGATATCAAAGAAAAAACGATGAAAGTTTCGAAACATTTTAATGTTATCATCATTAATTCATTCTATTATATAGTTAGATAACAATAAAAAACGGTATAACTACTATCGTTCTATTTTGAAAAATATTTAACTGTTTTTAAAAACTTACGGAAAAAAAAAAAAATAGATTTGGTTTTAATAGTAAATTTTTTTTTTTTTTATTAATTTAATTTTATTTAAAAAATTATTTTGTCTCTTGTTGCACATTACAGACAGGGCCAGATTTACCTAATTGCAGACAAGACTGCAGCCTGCGCACCATGATTTTAGCGGACTCAATTTTTAAATATATAACTATACAGTGGGGAAAAAATTGTGGTATTTAGTGTTTAAGGTCCCAAAAATTTTTCTGCCTAGGGCACTCAAGGATATAAATCCGTCCCATAATACAGACTAAAAATTTTTTTTTTACGTTTAATTTTTTCAAGATATTCATAAATAGATACATCGAATATACTTATTAGCAAACTTTTCTAAAAATATTTTTAAACAATCAAATTAAAAAGTGGTTTATGAAAAAAAAAAAAGCGGATTTTTTTTGCTAGTCAAATTAACCCATCCCCTCCACCTTCCCCTAGGACAATGACCTGGATCCGCCACTGTTAGAAAGTCATTATAGAACTATTTTTTTTTGGTATTATAAGTCAGAAATTAAGTCGGAAATTAAGTCGGAAATTAAGTCGGAAATTAAGTCGGAAATTGGGCAAATCTAAGAGAACTTAAACTACGCGACAAAATTAAAAATATCAATTAAATTGAGATTAGTTCAAAATGTCTTAATTTTTTTAAATAAATATATCAAAGATTTTAAAATTATTTCTTAATTATATAATTAAAAAAATTGAATTAGTTTATCATTATCGATAATTAATTTTAGATTTTATTAAAAAGTAATTACAAAAAATGTATTTACATTTTCATGTGTTTGTCTTGATTTTGATGATTTCCATGAGTCTACGAAACAAAAAAAGTATAGACATCAACTTTTCGTGACTTAAAACGTTAATAGTGTTTAGAAAGTGATCTAAATACTCGATGTATTTAAAGACAGCTTCTTAAAATGAACAGCCGTGGCGCAGTGGTAGAGTACTTGCCTCAGAAAATAAGGATCCGTGGTTCAAACTCTACCTCTGGATAAGTTTTGTGACATCGGTTAGAAAGGAGGCGTGAACTTTCAATTAAATGCTCATCCGCGGAGCTTTGTGATGAGACCGTTAAAACTTCTTAGGGCACCTAAATAAAATTATTTTTAAAAGCTTTTTAAAAAACCATAAGTTAAACTTTTATTTTTCCATGTTCCTAATATAATACTCTAAACTTTTCTAAAAAATTTGATTGAATTCCTCTTGAATTATATTGCGCAAAATTTAAGTAAAATTGAAATTTTAGAATATTTCAAGTCGAAATGTTGTTAAAAACGTTTATATCTCAACGAGGGAAATTTACTTAGCCATACTTTCAAATGTAATCTAAATTAAACATTAGAAACGAGTTGCATGTCAAAAAGTTATTTATTATAAAAACATTTCAACTTTTATAATTGTTTTCTGCTGTTATATATGAATAATTTGGTTCTAAATCAACTTTAAATTTATTTAAATATCAGATTGCTCTCGTTGCTATTCGAAAGTGTTTTATTATAAATTAAGCTTGCAGAAAGTATTCTTAGTATTGGACTTTTCAAAAAAATGAGTCAAGTCTGCAAGCTAATACATTTTCACTATTAATTTTTTTTCTCGGATGTCTTTTCTAATATTCATGTTTTTTCGGACGGCCATGTTTTTATATAATAAAAGTTAAAAAACTAATAATGCTTGGAATAATAAAAATAATTGTTCTTGTTGACAAAAAAAGTCTTTCATTTCATTTAAAATTGTTAATATTTTAGAAAGCAAAGATCATGAAATGTACACAAAATAGAAAATAAGTATATTTATTAAACATTTAAAACAAATAAACTAATAGTTGCTCTAAGAAAAATTTTAAAAATTAAAAAATAATAATAATTACAAACAGATGATCTTTTATTTACAATTATTTTTTAACTCTAGAGTTAATTATTTAACCATAGCCAATAACTCCTAGAAGTAAATTTGCCAATCCTAGTTTTATTTCAAGCCACTTAACACGGCGGTTACAACTGCAAACGTCTTATATAAACCAAAACGCTTTCTGTTTGAAATCTTATATGACTAATAAGATTATCAATAAGATGGTCCAGTTGAGGTTAAGCAATAGAAAGCTTAAAATAATCAGATATTAAAGATGACGATTATCTTGATTGATTTGCTTTTCACATTTTTTAGGCTTTAGTTCTTTTACATTTAAAGTCATAGCTAATTCAAAAGCAAAATTAAACCAGTTATAGTGAAATAAATTAATACCAAACGTAATTTGAATCGGCACATGCTAAAAAGGCCTCAGTCAAAAAAATACATAAACTAAGTTATTAATGAAAACCGTATCTTGAAAAAATGCTGTGTGCTAAAA